GGAACTTTTCGCAACCCGAAAATTTCCCGACTGGTCTACTGGGTGATTTTTTTTGCTATAATTCGGTCATTTTGAATCTTGTAAAATTTTCAAAATAGCGCATTTGAAATTTTTCAAAAATTATAGCATGGCACTTCTGTCACTGTGACTGTGAGTTAATGTTTTTTCTAGGCAAAATTTACTAAACACGATTTTTTTACTAGATTTAAGTAAAAAAAAAAAGTAAAAAGTCACAAAGAAATGTTTAAATCCAACATATCTCTAAATGTCCTTGTCCAATCTTTTATTAAAAATAAAAGCTCATGAAAAATGCAATCTTTTGGAATGTTTAATATTATGGAGACCAAAATCGTCAAACAAGAACTTTTCAAATTTTTGAACTTTTTGTAAAAACGTTTTTTCCTGTAATGATAATGCTTGAGACATTTTGAAAAAATACACACGCAAATCTACCTACAAAGAGTTTCAAAACTGTACCAAAATTCTTGTTTTACGATTTTTATCAGTTTTCAAGTGCCCATGGCAAGCGGCGCCGGTGGTATAGTGCTAAGCGTGATTGTTCCTCACCCCAAAAGGCCTGAGTTCAATCCCAGTCGACGCTGCCGAGATTTTCTGAGGAATAAAATCTCTGATCACGCCTTCTTTTCACCATTTCGGCATAGCTTACAGCATTCGCAAATTTAACTCGTGAGCAAAGAATTTGTTGCATGAATGTTGGATGTAGCTGTTTGTCTTCATTGTTTTTGACGCGTAAATTGGGTTCCATGTGCCGAAGTAGTGCTACTCCCCATCATACTGTAGAAAATTAGCGTTGAAACCCCATGCTTGGAATAGACTTCGTCGAGTCTGGCGGCGGATAGGATCGTGGAGTCCATACACAGTATGACATTAGGGTGAGACAACTGGGGCATAGATTTGGATCCAGTTTTTAATCCAGTCATACATTGGTTGACTTTCAAGTTTAAGATTGTTTTAAATATGTACAAATCAGGTGGGATTAAAACTGACAGCTAATATTAATCAATTCGTCAGGTTTTGATCAAGCATGATCTGAGCTCCGTGTTATCAGCTAAACATTAAGCAGAAAGGTAGAAATTAGCAAGAGACAACATGGATAAATGCAGGAAGTTGTGAAAATATTGAAAATATTGATATTTTTGTGCTAATGGATATTCAGTGATGAAATATCTTAAAGGGTATATTCATCAAAAATGGCACACACATAAAAAGCTGTAACTTTTTAACTATTATACCAAATTTCTTGAAATTTCCATAGTCCTTAACACACACATAGGTGAAGGTGATGTAATCTATCTCAAGTAATAGTCGTAAGAAGAACATGCTGTCTTAAAACTTCTATACAGTCTCAACATACTGAGCCTGTCTGTAGTATCTCCTACATAGCAACAAATAAATTTTAATATTACATCCAAGAGGATGCACTTCAGTCATGTCGAAAATCTCATGTAATTTTGATGGCCACAACATTATGATATCAAAATTATTTTTTTTTCTGTGTATCTCAACGTAAAATTGCAATCCTACCGTCAATTCAAATTCAATTGTTGAACATTTTGTTTAAAATGTTGGCCACTGAACCGAGGGAACGGGTAATCAATCGGAATTGAGAGCAACCGGGAATTTGATTGCATCCTTAACATATTTTTTGTACCTATTTTTAGACTTAATTCAATTTGAAAATATATTCAGGTCTAAGATTTAAGATAGCTTTCATAGTTAAAGCTCTTGATGATTTTTTTAAGTGGCAGAATTTTTAAATGTTTTGATCGGGGAAGGGTCTCGAAAGATCCGGAATGACATTTGCAAGAACATGATTGATAGATTCCACACATGGCCAATTTATCGTGCTATATCATCCATAACAGCGACTGTTGGTATGCTGACGTGTTTTGGATTCTAGCAGTATTGTGCTTAATGTCCTAAAATCTCGAAAAAAAAATTCTATGAGAGCAAAAAACAAAAGGTGATTATTTTCCATTTATCTCCGCTTAATAATTTTTATTCATGACACATACGTATTTCGACTACAATGTGCACAGGTTATTTACTGCTATCTGACACAAATAATAAAACAATGACAAGAACAGGTTTGCAAGAAGGTCTTTAATGTAAATTGACGTTGGATTTCACTGAAGAAGCTAATGGAGTCAATCTATTAGTCGTTATTGACTACTTTACAAGATACTTTGAGATCGAAATTATCACTGCAATCACAGCAAAAGCTACAATATTCAAATTAAGAATCATGTTTCAAGATTTGAATATCCTGAGGAAATTGTATGCGATAACAGTCCTAATGGAATTTTAAAAATCCAGGCCGTTTAGGTATATAAATGTAGGGAATTATAATTCCAGGATATTTATCTGGAAGCGCACTAAGGTGAGGCAATTTTTTTTATTAATTAATTTATTTATCCAGGCTCAATCGAATAAACTTTACAGAGCCGAGTTATCATTTTCGTTATACATTATTGATGTCTTATATTTAAAGTTAAAGGAGCTGGACCGGATACTCGCGGTTGTCTCGAGGTTGGTGGAGGTTTACAATTTTTTTGGATGGGAAAAGGGAGAAGGAGGTTTGAAATGTGGTTTACGATACAAATATTTAATTAATCCTAAAACATGAACTTATTTCTATTCATCTTGAAAACAAACATAAAAACCCACACGTATAAAATACAAACTAAACACAAGGTTAATTAAACTTACAATCTAAGGTTAATATTCTTAAAGTAAACATATATGAGTTTCATAAACATAAAGCTTAGATCTGACTCCACGATGCTCAGCACAAGACCAAATAATCCCCCTAATTCTGCGAGTCACGTGACTCTCTGTCACCGGTGAGGTGACAATTGTCACCTCGTGTGAGGTGACTCTCCGTGCAAATCAAATGGAGAGTCACCTCACACGAGGTGACAATTGTCACCTCACCGGTGACAGAGAGTCACGTGACTCGCAGAATAGGGGGGAATATGATCAGCGTCCTGGTAACCTTGTCCACATTCACAGAGATTGCTGTCCCCCAGCCCAACACGGAACCAGTGAGCGTTTAACGAATAGTGATTGGACATGAGGCGAGACATCATACGAATGAAGTCTCGACCCACGTCCAACCCCTTGAACCAAGGACTCTTCGACACCTTAGGGATGATCGAATATAGCCATCATCCCAAACTCCCTTCACCCCCCTTTTCCTGCCAGCTGACGAGTGACTGTTAACGGTAAATGATGAAAAATTCATCGTAGGCGATTAGTCGATCGTAAATATCGCCTTCTATAGCGCCCACCTTAGCAAGTGAGTCCGCCATCTCATTGCCCGGAATCGAGCAATGAGATGGGACCCATGCAAAGGTGATGACAAAAGTTCCTTAAGAAAAAGCACTTAAAAGCATTCGTATTTTCATGAGAAAATACGAAGAGTGCTTTACCGGCCTCATGGAGCGAATAGCCTCGACAGAACTGAGACTATCCGTAAAAATAAAATAATGATCTGGTACAAGCGAGGTGATAGTTTCTAGCGTATAATGTATTGCCGCCAGCTAAGCAACATATACGGAACAAGGAGCTTGAAGCATTCGAGAGGCGCTATGAAATTCGTTAAAAATACCAAAACCAGCGGACGACTCTATTAGTGATTCATCTGTGAAGAACGATCTTGCGGAATCAACTTGGCCAAACTTTGCAGTGTATAATGACGGAACAATCATGGAACGATGATGTTCTGGGATTCCGCGAATCTCTTGCGTCATAGATAAATCAAAACTGACTGAATTGCCGAAGTCGGAGAAGCATACATGATGAGGATTATGCTGTGAAGGGCTGACATCCTGTGTTATGTACACGTAGTTCAATCATAGAGGTAAGCTCCCGAAAGAACGTGCTCAAATTTTTGGCTCAGCTCTGGTACTCTCTTCGATCCCAAGCTAATCGATTCACCCTTCGAAACATAGGAAAATCCACTAACCACTCATTTTATCTGTCAAACTTTCATAGTGAATCAATTGTGTAGTCGTAGAATTTCGACAAGAATGGGGTACGTAAATCGTTTGCTTGGAACCTGGCTAGGCTAGTCAAGTAGTGAGCCAATTTAAAATCGTTAGTTTCGTATTGATTGTTGGTACAATGTCATAAAACGAGAAGCTTTTTATTTTTTCCTTTGGTTTTTTTTTCCGTCGAACTTGTTTTCCGTGCTGAGCACCAATGCTACCGACGTGCCAGGAAGGCAGCTCCCACACCTGAACCCTACCTATCGACCCATCAACTCATGAACCGGGGACCAACGGCTTTACTTCCCATCCGAAGGAAGGCGTGATCAGAGATGTTATGCCTCAGAACATCCCGGCGGCGCCGACTGGGATTGAACCCAGGCCTGCTGGGGTGAGAGGTAATCACGCTTACCACTACACTACCGGCGCCGTTAACTCAAGAAGCTTCTCAAAGTTTGCAATCACCAGTGGGTTCATAATTTCACAACGGGTGAGGAGCCTGAGGGATAATTCCGAAAACCGATCAGAGAGTGGCAACACGCCCGCTAACCATCCACGGCGAGCAGATGGTTCGGTGATTCGTCACCATCGTCGCCGGGGGGTTCCGCCCGCTAAAAGTTAAGGAGCGCTGCTAGGCAGCCAATAGAAAAGGAGAGGAGACAGCACAGATCGTGTCTGGAGCCGACGTGAATCGGAACGAAAAGCAACCGCCGCCACCATTGTCGAAGAGACCCACCGTCAGCGAGAATCAGCGAGGAGAAAGGGAAGGTCATATTAGTTAATAGACGTCTAAAATTTCATCTTTCTTTCTCTTTTGCTATCATTTCACCCATATCCGAACGACTTTGGGGAAAGTACTCTGCTCGTAGCCACCCGGGGTAAATTGGACCAGCTATAAACTGGAAGGTAAGCCGCAACTTACGATATGGATTTTTCGGTGGAAGAATTATGGAAATTTTTTTATTGGGTTTCTTTTTATTTTATAAATAAAATATCATAAACATATAAAATTAACAATTTTTTAACGAAAATAAGGGTGTTTAAAGTTAGTTATATATATTTACAATTATTAATTATTGCGTGTTATTCGTTTTTATACACAACTAAACTTTACGCCATCCTCACTCGAAAAGCAATTTTGACAGTGCAACTTGAATTTTCGCACACGAACATCTGTGCCCGTGAAGCCATCGCCGAGGCGAATGTGACAAACACAACACTTGAAACAATCAATATGGTATAGTAAACCTAGGCTCTCAATTACCATAGCAGCTCCACGTCCTGTAAATAGAAGAATGTTACTAACATTGTCCTACGAATACATTATTTTATCCTTACCTAATTCATTATTGCAGTGAGAGCACTTCTTCTTCCCACTAACACTAAGAATTTTTTCATCATGCTCAGCTGACCGCTGATGGTTTTGCTTGTTGAATTGTTCAGATTTTAGTCCATTTTCGTTAGCTTGGTAGGGTCCTTCAGGATGCCTGAAAAAAACATAATTTTTATGAAAAATCAATCAGCATCTAGCATCTAGCATTTAGAGTTTAATAAATGTGTTACGTAATTATTATTGACGACATAATTTGGCAGGGAACAGGTTTAGAAGCTTGGATGATAATCTTTTAGTTTTAATCCTTTTTAGAAAGGTATACATATCGCTTGGAAAACCGACTATCGATCCGACGCTCGGAGGGTCGAGTGTCATATACCAATCGACTTAGCTCGAAGAGATCGGGAAATGTCTGGGTGTGTGTACCCAAGTAAAGTCGGGTATCAAAATACTATCAAAATGATATCAAATTATGTTTTTGACATCATGTTGATATGCTTTGTTTAATATGCTATTTTTTAATTTCGGTTGAATCCATATTTTGCTATTTCTCAAAAATATAATTAAAAACAAGGTTTGACATTCTACAAATATCCACATTTATCACTGAAATCTACTTTTTCTGTTATTGAATCTAATTAACTTCGTTTGTCATTTGTCATTTGTCATATTTTAACTTTTGGGTTTTCCTCGTGTACCAAAGTCGCGAATGCCAGTTTTTGATTAGAGTTGAATCTGCTATTTGTCTATAATGACAAAAACAATTCATATACTTTCATGTAATTTGTACCATTTGATGATTATTTCCGGTTCTGTCCTTTAATATGGCACCATTAGCACTTTATTGATAACATAGCATAGATATCAACCAATAGATTACTAAATTTGATATCATGATATCAAAATAATAAGTAACGCATACATGGACTTGTTATCAAGCAAACATGATTTGTTATATTTTTAATATCCTTCATATACCATCATTTAGATCACATTTTTGTTATGATAACAAAATATGCAAAATATGTTATCACGAACGCTTATATCGAAATATCAAATCTAGTTTTCATTTTGTTTTCATTCTCTGCTCGGTATGTATCGACATTACACTCAGGTCTTTTTTTACACGGGGGATATGTACCGTGTAAAAAAAAATCGTGTTAATTAAAACATACGACATTTTGATTTTTCTCATGCTTAAACGTTTTAAAAAAATCGGATTTTAATGCCGTTTGTAATTATAGCATGCTATGGTCCATATAGACATATTTAAAAAAATTCTGTATTTACACCAAAAATTGTGATTTTTTTTAATTATGTTATTCGATTACCTATAGCTTGAAACGGATAATGTGATTGGAATCAAGTCGATAGGTTGTATCGTTGTCATGAAATCGTTAAAAACGTACCGTTTAAATCGCGAAAAACCGTGTAAAAAAACCGCGTAAAAAACCGTGTAAAAAAAGACTTCAGTGTATTTAAAAGGCATGTTTCTCGGCAACCACCGAACGGAATTGGACGTCGCGACCACTAATTTTTCGTGGTCTTATAGACCACTTTTGAATATTTTTGAAATCGGTGTACTGGTTCCGGAGATATGGACGGAAAAGGATCCGAAAAAAAACACGGACAAGAGAACTAAGTCGTGTTTCTCAAAAACCACTTAGCCACATTGGAAGAAACAACCGCCAAATGAAAGTTTTGATGGTCTCATTTAGTTTTTAATTTATAGAATACGTCATCTGCTCCGGGGATATGGACGTAACATCATCTGAAAAACATGGATTAAGGGGTGTTTCTCGGCAAATACCACCAATTGAGAGGGTTCATAGTTCTATAGAAAGCTTTTGAAAATGTTTGGAATCGGTCAGCTGGTTCTGGAGATATGCACGCATCGACGTCCGAAAAACACGGATTTATAGAACTAAGTCGTGTTTCTCGACAACCACTGAACCGAATAGGACACAACAATTACCAAATGAAAGGTACTTAGATCCTATAAAACGCCTTTGAATATTTTTGAAAAACAGGTCAACTGATTCCGGAGATATGACCGGAACATGATCCGATTTGTATGGGCCATTACATTAAATACGTCCTAAAACGAATAAAACCCATCATGTGACACCTCAAATGAGATGAAAAATCAAATCCAGTTCAATGGTAGTCGTTTTAAGTGCCCAGGACCACACTGACCACATCTGGCCATGCTTTAGGAACCCCCGGAAACTGACCAGTTTTTGACTTGGGTCGATACCTTAAATCACATCAGAATTCATTTATTTAATCACATCATATGAGCATTTCTGGTGGAATTTTTATTAGTAAGAAATGTCAGATTTCACCATAGGTGGATTAACGGGTGTGCAATAAAAAATGAGAATTTTTTCAGTCATATAGCTAGTAAAAAAAACGAATTCAGTATTTTTTTATTAAAAATATATTGTTTATTCTTTAAAAAAAAACGTCAATGAATATTGGAGAAGGGGCCCTGGTCAGCCATACGACGCAACTTAGTCGCGATGCTCTCACAAGAGCGCTGGACGGCACTGAAATCATCATTTTTTATTGAACACCCGTTAAATCAGATCCTTAAGGGTGCTTAACTTTATGTTGTGACATATTTGTATTGTTACTGAGATTCGTAATCATGGTGATGACCTTCCTGATCCTGCATTCTTCTATCCTCAATGCCCAAATAGACGATATTGGCTGTGTCCACAATCAGTGATTTTACGACTCGCGAGCGCTCACTGTGAGTTAACGCTCACGAATCATAAAATTGCTGATTGTAACACTCTGGAAGTGAAATTGACAGGTTTATGTGTCAAACACTTGCCTTTAAACCTATTCTTGTATCTAACAAGTACAAAATATCATTGTTTGGACTGGGAGGGAACTTTCTCTTTTGATAGTGGACTGTATCGACAGGGTGGTGGAGGCAGCAAGCGTCGATCGGAAATCAGCTTGTAAGGCCTCTGAAAAGAGCTGGGGGTTCGACGCTGCTCTAAATCAGGGATGTGTGCAGCAATAAACTTACGCTATATAACTGTTTATTCTCTCCTCTTTCTCTCTACAAATTCTACTTCTACTGCTGCTGATGTTCACTGCTGTTTGGTCGGAAAAGAACTCTGTTTGGCACGGTGATGCATGCCTCTTTTAAAACGGCGAACGATGATTTGGTCATCGCTGATTGGTGGATGTTGTAACCTAGTGATGGTCTCCTTCTTCACTGCTTGTTGGTGGTGTTCATAACAGTTGACTTTCGGCGGAGACGGAACAATCATTATAACATCTAATGATTTCAAAATTCAGAAAATCATTTTATTATAGCAAGTGAGTGGAAGCAACTCTGGACTGTGTATAATTTGAAATCCTCGTTGTTATATTGAGCTGGTAGAACTTACTCGGTCTAAAACTCGCGATTTGTTTCTACCAGTTTCTACAATAAAGTTAATAAACTATAGAGGAAGAATATCGCTGGTGTTCCTTTTCTGCTGATTTGAGCAGGGTCGGGTGGGGCAAGAGTGCTACCCCCTATAATTTTGAAAATAAACATGTTTTCAATGGTAATTTACCCATGAAACTATGAATGGTATTCCTATGCAGCATTACAGAAAGTTCTCTCCGAAATGAAGTATTACAAAAATGGCAAAACATCATTTTGTGCTGATGTGTTAAAAATCGAAATTACTTATAATAATTGGACATCATAAAATAAGAAATTTTGAAATTTCCAAATATTGTATCCTACATTGAGGTATTACTAATAATGATTAATTGAAACATCAATAACAAAGAATAGATAAATATTCCCTTTAATTGGTCAAAAATAATTTTCTTAAAAATGAACCTCACACGGGGCAAGAGTGCCACCCCTATATTTATGAATAAAATTATACAAAAATGTAAAAGAAATTGCTTCATTTCCCATTTAAGTCTTTGGTAAGCTTGTTTTCACCAAATTTGACAAAACCAGTTACATAAAATATCAACAACAATAGTTTTCATTTGATTTCATTGGTAAACATAGTTCATTTGTTATATATTGAATAATTATGTAAAACTCAATAGTTAAATTGAGTCAACAATAACTGCTGTTGCTAGCATGATTATTAATCAAACAAGCATTAATCGATTTCACTCAATTTAAGACGCATGGCCCTTTTGCCCCATAGGGGTTGGCACTATTTTCCCATTGCAGTTTCAAAAAAAGATTTGAAATGTCATTTTGAAAAAAATTTAAACAACTTATGACGAGATATAATTTGCATTACATTGCTGATGTATGAAGGCAATAATATGAAGTTGCAATACGGTGTAGAAACTCCTTTGAATATCCACTATTTGGCATATACATATAGAACGTACAATTGTTAAGGTGGCACCCTACTGCGGAGTCGATCGATTTTATTTTGCAAGCCATTGGAAAACTGCTTGATTTTTTAAAGGTTTAAACCTGTTTTACTCATTCTCAGTTGATTCCCGCCAAATGCTCTGAGCCAGGAGTGCTCGAGCCCCCTGACTCTATGTATAGTATGTCTACATACATGTTTCGCCAAAGTGCCCTTTTACTACAATTGAAAGCTCAGCTGAGTCATAAAAACTAGCTCTATTTGTTGCTTCTTAATGTTTGGCTCCCGTTTGACAGTTCACACTAGCTCCCAAGTGACAAGAACATTGAGTGAGTCCGCTGTACCCAATTGAAATTGTAATGATTTGTTTAGCTGTTCGAAAACCAGGTAACATTTTAGTGAAACCAGATAGGTTTATCGTTCTGATTTAAGTCGTATTGTGCATACGAATTGAGTTTTTTTTAAATCCTATGTTTTAATGATTTATTTCTGAAGAATGTATATAAACAATTCACACAATAGAAAAATTAATTATCAAAGAAACACTAAATAGCGCTAAACTCTTAAATAAAAAAAACTTTTCAAAACTAAATATTTTTGCATTTAAGAGCTTATTTAAAATTAAGACTTTTGATAAAATTTCAAACCAAGATTTTTAAAATAGACGAAAATTATACTAAAGTTGCTGATTTTTTGGTAAGATATTAGCAAAATTTCAAAATACGCCATACAAAACTGCTTTTCCACTTTTTTGTACAGGCTCATATTTTGAATGTCATTAGAGGGTACGTTTTTGTTTTTCAAAATAAAGCTCACTTACCTGCCAAATTCTAGATCATTTCAGATGCTGCAGAATTTAGACAAATAAGTGTTTTTTTTTCAGGTCGTAGACCTCCGGTTAAAACAACATTTGAATCAGCAATATTTTACCTGGTAAAATTTTAGAATATTTTCCTCCTCAATTTTTTTATGCAATGACAAGAAGTGAAAATAAAATATGCATCGGCATAAAGAAAAATAGCTACCTAAAAAATAAAATGAAAAAAGTTTGTTCTTACCACCGACGATCTGAGCCTATTCCAAGGTTCTGTACCCGTTGCGTAATTGTTTGTATGACCGATTCCGGCAGAGATTTTCTGTTGACACTTTTGTTCTGAGAGTAACCCGACAGATAATTGCTGCTTGCTGCCTGCTGTTGTTGCTCAATCCTGCGCTGTTCAGCCTCCTGGACAAACCAGTGCCGAGCATACGAATCACTGTTTCGGTTGGCCTGTCTACTTGCCTTTACGTTCCACTGCGGTGAGCATTCCGTTAAACTACGTTGTTGAAGCATGCTGTTATGGGAAGGATACACGTCCTGTGCTAATTCCTTAATGTCGTGCGACAGTCTATACTGAGCCCATTCATTTGAAGGTTTGATTTTCGATATGCAACTCGTTAAATCTATTCCACTTTCAGTCGCGTGTAGGTTATTGAGAAGGCGGGTTGGATCACACAAAGGTAAAATTTCATTGGATAATGTACTAATGTTATTGCATGTGTTGTGGTAAGCAACATGGTTTTCACTTGGTGATGCTGTAGAGCTCTGCAGTTCGCCATAGTCTAAGTTTGATACGTTTGACAGAGATTTACTGTGCTCTTTGTAAAAATTGTACTGATTTTGCATGTACTGTGGAGAACGCAACGGCTTCGCTGGCGGAATTGGAGGAGGAATAGGGTTTGTCATATCCTGTAGAAGAGTGTGAAGTATATGTTATACATAAGATTATGCTTAGTTCTATAATAAATCGGGTGGAAGTTGTAGATACTTTTAATCATTCAGACGTCAGATTTTGTACTAAAATTACATTAATGAACTAATGATTTCTAATCTTTACCATTGGTTAGATGAAAAACTTCTTCTTCAGTTAAAATTAAATATAGTATATACATAGAAATTCGGAGGTGAATGTGGAAAACTCAATATTTTGCATGAAACCGATAAAAAAAAAGTAAAGTTAATAAACACGATCATCTTTAAAAAAAACTCGTTATGAAGATTTTGCAGATATAGAGGATTGTGATCAGGTTGTGATGAATTTACTAATGAAAATCTCAGTCAATTTATATGGTTGTCTGTGGAAAACATATTCCGCATGTTCATGTATAAAGTGCCAAAGTTACAAATATAGGGGAAATGCAGGTAATGTCAGCCTAAGTGTCCCTAATTTGGGCCCATACATAAATTCAGCAATCGACTAAATTTTCAATAGCAACCAAAAATATCCATTAGTAACGTCCCAATAACGCGTTCATCTAGATAAAATTGATGAATAGCAGATTTTTAGCGATGGGCCTAATCTTAGATCCATAGGCCAACATTAGAGACATTTCCCCTAGTTTCAAACATAATGGCAAACGGTTTTTTTTTTTCGTAAATCGCAATCCTGCATAATGCAAGAATGGGCTAACAGTTACGCTAACATATTTTTAAATAGTCAGATATACATTATACTGTTTGGTTTAGAGTCGGATTATTGTCTATATTCAAAAAAATCTGTCAAGCTAAAAGCCCCGAAAAAAAAATCATTTTAATTTTTCCAAAAATATTGGAAACAGGTATCGGAAATCTTAAAAACACAGTTTTTTTTTCTCAGATGCTAAAGCAACTTAAATGGATTTTCTTAAAATTTAGATATTTTTTTCAAATATTATAAAATAAATCTAAACAATTCCACGAAAACAAAATTCGGGACGGTAAGCATACCGTTGGGGGCAGGTAGATAGATCTGAAAATTAAACTAGGTACTTGCTTCCTTACAGCAAAGACTTTTAAACACTAGGTAGATACATTTAAAACATTTGGTTGATGACCAGATGTGAGTCCGAGATATGCGAAGTGGTAAAACCAATTATTAAAAAAAAAAAGGATTCCAACAATCGATTAAGTCACATCGACAATTTTTGAATAAACTGAGTTCTTCTACTGCATATTTTTAATTGTAACCAACAGTTTTTTTGCCTTCATTATAGAGGCTTTCAATAATAGGCTGGTTTGTCACTTAAAACCAACAACCATTTTAGCTGTAAATAAACTGAAAAACAGAATCGTTAAACGCTTGATCGCTTCACACAACAACAACTCTAATTCACTCTACAAATCTCTTGCATCATCTTGAAATCAGAATTTCCTATACCCTTCACAATAACCACGGAATTCTCCGCAGATATGTTCTGGAATTATGTTCAGAGTTATCCTGTTTCCCGATTTATGTTCCTTAGGAACTCTTCTCAGCATGCCCTAAGTATTCTTCCAAAATTCATATGCAATCCCCCATAACATTTCCACGAAATGCTTTCAGAGATTTATTTAAATTCTCCAGAAAAAAATCTTAGGAACTCTCTTCAGCATTCTCCTCCATATTTTCGATGAATGCTCCCAGAAATAATTTGATAATCTTCTTAGAATTCTCTTGAACTCACCTAGTAATTGCCTTGAAACTATCCTCAGCAATGTAATTATCCTTAGAATTCTTTTCTAACTATAGATTTTTATTGAGATCGCAAACAGTTGTGCCAAAATTACGAATTCGGTTATGATTTGGATTTGCGCGGGAACTTTAAAGTTGTATGCGAAAATGTATGGAAAACGGAACAAAATTGCTCGATTCACACCAAACCGAAAAATGCTCGATTCACACCAAACCTATGACTATACAGAACAACTTAGTCAAAGACTATGTGACTTATGTAAAAACAGATATTGTTTGTCAGCCAGAATTCCCCTCAAAATAACATCCTTTCGAAATAATCAAGGGAATTTCCATCGATATTTGCTCTGAATTGTCTTGGAACGATTCTCACAATTCTCTTGTTAATTCGCTTCGAACTCTCCTCCGCATTTTATAAGTTTTCTTCCGAAATTCTTTTTTAAATTATCTACAAAATATCCTTGAAATGCTGCCAGAGATTCATTGAGATTCTTCTGAATGCTTCCTAGGAATTCTCTTCAACATACCTTGCCACTTAGAAAATTAAATTCTCATTAAAATTTCTTTGGAATATCTTCAGATTTATGTTCCATGAGACTTGTAATCACAATTCTCTTAAAATTTATGTCATAATTCCTTTATTTTATTTTTCGATTCTCCTTAGAATTCCTTTGAAATTTTACTCAAAGTTTCCATTGGAATTCGCAATACCTACACGGGAAAAAATCCGATCTCCGAAATGAGAAAAATGACTCATGATTTCATGAACAAAGCGTATTTTCATGTTATGAAAATACACCATGAATAATATTCATGATATCATGAGCAACTTTTGCGTAACGCAGCAAACATTCCCAAAATCATGAATCATCCGATTTCAAATCATGATCTAAAATTCATGGGTTTAACTTTTACCAAAAAAATGTAAAAAGAATAGAATAAAGCATCAGACTGGATTCGAACCAAGAACCTTGAGATTATTAAACCCATTCTTTGACCACTAGACTCTCAGTATTTGTATAAGAAGGAAGACAAAAAGCGTATAAGAGATACCTATGTAGTGCGGTCTATGAACACGGTTTGCCAAGTACGTGTAACGCTTGTAGCGGCCTTGATTCCACTGCATTATGAAATCATGAATTTCCATGACGAAATCATGAATCATTGTTATGATTTCATGGGATGGCAAGTTTTTCCATTTCATGATTTCTTATTCATGAAAATGGAATCGGATTTGTTTCCGTGTATGGAACACTCTTCAGAAGTAGTCCTCTTAGTCAAATTCTAAATTTTTAGAATTTAGAGTCAGCTTTCAGACGAATTTTCGTAGGAATTTTTAAACATACTTTCCAGAATTTCATTGGTGTTTTCTTCAGAATACCCTTGAACAATCTATATCCAAATTATTCCAGGGCACAAAATATTGATTTATTTTTAAAAAATGGGGTCGTGGTAGTTTTCACAGGTCGACAACTTTTCAATAAAACAATCATGTTATTTTTTAATTTAAATAAATTATTAGTACAATCTCTCACGAAATTTAACAGCGTTAAGCTCAGAGCTCAGAGATTCTGAGACATTTGAGATCTCGGACTTAAAAACATCATTTGAAGTTCTAGAACTCACAAAATTTGTTGAAAATTTAGAACGTAACGGTATTTAAACGACCTTAAATTGTGTCCTGATTAGCCAACCAAAATTTGAATTTGAATGGTAAAAGTGCATATTCTTGTAGGAATAATTATTTAAGACATTGGTAGGTCTCGAGACATGAACAAGCAGCTGCTTTGCAAGCAACAATGTGTGGCTACTATGTCAGACTGCACAATAAGGTTTTTGTGCAGTCTGACATAGTAGCACAAGGTCGATGAGAGTAGCTCGAACTTTACGCAAAATTGAAAAAAAAAGTGGTTACTCAGTGGATGAGAAAAATTGTTCTCGATTTTGTTCATCCACTGAGTAATTCCACTTTTACTGCATTTTTGAGTCGAATTCGACTCAATTTTGAGTTACTCTCATCGGGCGTGCATGATTTTCCTACTCTTATCCACGCGGCTGAAACATAAATGTTATCTACTGAGCATGTCTCACGTATTCAATCATTAATAACTTTTGTTCCTTACATTTAGTCATAGCTGTTCTTTGTCTTTTAGTTATAGTTGAGATAATTTTTTATTACTACTACAGCTATCTAGCATTTTATTAAATCAGCTTTCATTTAAATGAGTTCAAATTTTATAATCTGATGATCATGACCAAATTTGTAATCGTTTGAACACTAGTGGTTTCCAATAGGTAGGCCATCAATAAAAAGAAATTGACGTCGCGAAAATCATGTTTTCTTCTCTATATGGTCAAAGATGTACACATTTTAAAATTTTGATTTGACCAATTTTAAAGAGGTCAGGTCGTTGTGTCGGGTGGTGTCGGGTGAATTTGGTGAACCCAAAAAAACTTTTTATTCAGTTAGTTAGTCAACCTACCATTAAATAGTTAGTACGTATTTAAGCCCTTCCGCGTGCTCAATAATCTCATCAATATGTATTTTTGAGAATTCAATTTCATTGAATTGCAAAACCATTAAAGTACTATTGATCTTTTTAATGGATTCGATAATTTTAGACTGTATAAAACATCTTTTGTTCAAGCACTTTTTTGAAAAAAAAAAAATACTTGCATCTCAAAACAACGAAAAACCTTTTGGAAAGTAAAGAGTTAAGTGTGCGGTTTTGTGCATTTTTGTTTAAGGTGATACTCTAAGGAAGCCTTAGCGTGAAACTTCAAAGGCACAAATGTCAGCTTCCACAAAACATACACATTTGAAATTGCGACTCTCTGTTTGTAGTAGCACAGCAGCACATATCGAATCTTTTAAAATTCCCTGGGCATTGACATAACCCTGAAGATTGCTTAACTGCAACCAGGTCCCAAGGCTTGTCTGTTTCTTTACATTTTGAAAGATGCACAGTGGTTGTGATGTAGCGGATCAAAAGTTTGTTTGAATTTAACTACAATCCAAAATTATATAATTTTGTAGTTTAAAATTATGATTTTAACAATGAATTGTTTTTTTTCTAAATAATTGAGTCTAATGGCTGTAAAAATAAAAAAAAGTTTTTTTTATTATTATTATTCATTTGGTTCAACACTTTTGGAATGCGACATCACACAGGTACCACCTTTGAATTTGGCTTGATCGAGTGGCGATTTTCTTTTCTTTAGATCAAGACGATGGAGTTTTGAAGAAGACAACGATCATTAATCACAGGGAAGAAAAAAGTTTGTCGCCGTATTACACCTGGAAAACTAGTGTGAAACAGGATATCAAGAGATCGGGCCATTCCTTGAATTTCTGAAAAGAGCGAGTGGTGGAACAGTATCGGACGATAGCAGCAGTGATGACCTTTACCCAACGAAATTCGAGGGATTCCCTGAAGAAGAAATAATCGCCATGCTGCCATCCATAAACAATCGGGTAATTTCTTACTTATTTTACCTATATTTTATTTATACTCGAATTAACCACCTTAAGTTACAGCTATCTATGAATCGACACAAACCCTGCTGGTAAAGATCCTGTGATGCCACCCCCTGTCTACTGGTATAACATGTACGGTGCATAAAAGTATCGGAGACATGGCCCTTGACCCCCTTCTATACTACACAATCACAATTACAAAATCGAAGCTTTTAAAATTAAAAAAAATATATATTAACCGTAATCTACCAAATACTCAAAGTTTACTTTGCCTCTCGATTCCCCATCACCAAACCTACTGTAAAATGTTCTCAAGAATATTCATTTTCATTTATGCTAAACTTTAGCTGCATATCTTTGCATCCAGATTTACTGTGATTGCAAAAGTGTCTCATTTTTTCAATCGATAATCGTTTTTAGTAAACAAAACAACTGGTAACTTTAACAAAAATGTGTGCCTTCAAAAGTTCTGAAAATGTTTTGAATAATTAAGCATTGAGAAATCAATGCATTAAAAGCCAATTAAATAAAACCAATTTTGTTAGGGTCACCCTAAACAAATTAATAAAAACCAATATTAAACATTAGCCATTAGATAGAGAGAATACGATTTTGAGGGCTGACGTAGATTGATTGATTGATTAATTTATTATAGAGACTTTCAGCCGTTGGCTGGTTCGTCTCTGCGGCTGGCGTAAAGTTCTAGTTGGAACGTGTCTAGCTAAAGAAGAAGTTTATACTTCTTGTTTTACCTTACCGACTTGTGAGTAACAAGATAAATGAAAGTAAGTCTGACTTGAACATTTGTAAAAGTCATCATCACCGCACAACTGAGGGAGGACAAAATCGATTCTATAACATTCCCCAGAAAACCATTCTCCATAAATGAACAGGTCCGCAAGTATCTTGCACACTGAATAATACATCTTCTGAATACCAATTTTCTCGATAAATTTTACACATTTGATTTAATATATTTTTCATGATAAAACTCTCTGATTATTCCCTTCTTTATCGTACACACTTAGAAATACCTAACCTTACACGTGATGGAATCCATTTTTGACATAAACTATGAGACAGTTTGAAAGTACGTTTGATTGAGCTGAATTTCACGTCTATTATGACTTAATTTTAAGTCAAATTTGACGCTTGTATATGTCAGTCTCAGAGCACCTAAATTTACAACAATTTTTCTAAGTGTGTATAAATATCCAAAGAATTAATTATTTCCTTTTGTTATGTTTTCAAAGACGGGAAAATCCTTTGCTTGATCCATTAAAAAGTTTTTCTTTTCTTTTTATATACGCGAAAGAAGATTCCAGGAGTGACTATAATAAACAAAAATAGTCAATCTAATACATGGCATACTTTTCTGGGGAATGGTTATCGGGAGAATGGTTTTCTGGGGAATGTTGTAGAATCGGCAAAATCAATTTAATTTAAAATGAAGGTATGAAATCTACGTCTTCATTCAAACAAGTATCGATATCTCTTCATCATCTTTTGTTTACTAGAACTATTATACTTAAAACACTTTGGTGTAGGATGAACTGTCAGCGAGATAATTCAACAACGATTTAAAAATCGTTATGAATATCTATGGGAGCAATACATAGTATTTATAGTATTGAGTATTTAAGTAGTGCAGTTTAGATATAAATGCCGATACACACGTATTCGGTATAAATAGCAAACGATCAGTGGGAATATACTGTTATATTATTTATAAATATGTATAGACATACATCATACCTCAGGTTGCAGCAAATGATTATCGCTCATTTGATACCTAAACTCATCATCAACTTGCAGGAAGCAATTATTGTTGATAGAACTGTTGTGATAGACTCTATATTTCGATATTTTATTTTCTCCTATTTTTGGTTTAATGAGTTCTTCTGGGTCTTCCGATGAAGTAGTGAATAAATCGCTGCTTTGCCGTGAATGATTTTCCGATACTCCTGAGTCACGACTATCAGCTTAAATTATTTAAAGATTCAAATTAATTAGAATTAATGGAATCAATTAATTTTGATTAATTACATACCTGCATCGGAATGGTCATATGATCCTGCCTTCAATATGTATTGCTTTTCTAACTGTTTTTCTTCCTGTAAAAAAGATGCGACAGTTCTTGAAGGAGTAGCCGTAGGAAAGTTTAACAATCTATCTCCATCTGCCATTTCTGAATCAATTCCAAGAAAGCTTGATCGCTTGTTGTGTAGCTCTTTCTTAATACGTTTGGTAGAATTAATGCGCTTAAAGTTTTCACTACTGTTACTGGCAGTAGAATCATTACAACCACCAGCATCTTGTTTTATGTCAACAGGTGGAGGGGGAGGTTTCTCTTTCGGTGGTTCTAGATGGTTCAAGCTGATGTTGAAATTGGTACCTGTATCGCCTTCAGAAATAATATTTACAGACTGCATTATATCAACATTTTCATACAATGGAATCGGTTTCGTCTTTGGTACTTCATAGTATGGCTCTTGGGACTTTGGAACCTGGTAATAGGGCTCAATCTCTGCAAATTTTCTAACATCCGTATGCTGCGGCAAGATGTCGTTGATGTCGCTAATATTTTGGTAAATTGGCTCCTGCGTGTTAGAGGTTATAGGCTGAGGCACAGTTGATTCCATATTATCAATTTCTTGGAATGCCATTTCCAAAGCATCGTCTAGTATCTATTTAAATTAAATAACTATCAATCAATTCATAAAAAAATCAACAAACAAAAGCGATGTGATGTTATATGAGGTGTGCCTTAATGCGCTAAAAGTTGACTTCTAGTACGATACAATTTTATTACCACTCCTGTAAAGTACATTTGGCAAATGCTTGACTGACGGTCTGATGTCGGTGGAGTATTGACAGATTTACTATACAAGGCTGGTAATAAAATAGTAAAAACCAAGAAAAGTGTATCAAGCATATAAGAGATAGAAGATTCTGTTACGCGTTACCAAAGAATATAGCGATGTGCATATTTATTAAGAAGCGAGTAGAATGTGTAATTTGGCATGCAATTTATTCTACCTAATATTTGCCAGATTTTTTTTTAATCAGTACATAGTAAAAAGTGCCACCAACTTTCCTCGGATTCATGCTTTTTGTATAACTTCCATCTGTGCTTAGTACGGTTCTCACCGTTGTATTTGCAATGGATCGCTATAATATCACTCGAAGAACACATTTTTAATCTTATGCTATGTTTTTTTTTATTAGAGAGGTTTAACATGTTAGAAGGCATAAGATTTAAAATTTGTTTTGCGACAATGCAGTGAGACTAGAACATAATTTCATGAAGGTTTTATACGAAAATATATATTCTTGCTAAATTTGTTGACACTGCAGATGATGTAATAAATCCACACTAAATGCTCATGCCATTTTTTTTTGCGTGTACTGTGGTTTATTTCAGATTCTGTGTATCTTTTATATAAAACAGTAAGATAATCTTACCTTTCCAAGTTGAGCATGAAGTCTCCGTTAGACATGGTCACCTACTACGCTTTGCATTCACAATTGTGATAACGAATTGCTCATTTGCTAATAAATTTGCACACATTTGACGAATCATGGTTTTTCGAAAGGAGAAATTTTCCTTAAAAAAAACAAAGGGTTTTGTGAATTTAGTTTGAAATTTAAATTTATGCCATCATCAATATTTTTACTTGCGCTTTGGTTTTGCACGACGATATCTCGTCAACTATTTGGTATTTCTCAATGCAGTCTTTTGACGAAATATTTTTCACATCAAAATACAAAACTCATGTGAACATGTTAGGGCCCGAATATAATATAACGGGGTGTTTTTAGTGCATAAAGCTAAAAAAAATGCAATTTTTCTCACGTTTTTGACCATAACTTACAAATCATGCATATTTAAGCATGATTATCTTACATAAGCGCGAGTAACTTTGCTGAACAATGCAATATCCTACGATCGACTCTAGTAAGTTTTGTATTTTGATGTGAAGAATATTTCGTCAGAAGACTGCATTGAGAAATACCAACTAGTTTACGAGATATTAAAGCCGTGCAAAACCAAAGCACGAGCCAAAATATAGATGGTGGCATAAATCAAAATTTCGAACTAAATTCTCAAAACCCAAATAGGGTTTTACTAGTTTGGGTGGGTACTTGCAGAAGCACATTAGGATCAATTTCATGCATATTAGATGTGCTAGGTTTTCCAAATCGTCCTACACCTCAGACCTAATGATTAACTCGATCAACAACGACTGGTACAACGAAGAATGTCCGATCAGATTCATGGAATTCATGTCCATAGAATACAATCCATATCCACGTCCATAAAATACTTTAAACTACTCGTCCTGGAGTCCTTGGTGCAAATTCTGATTTTTCATCTAGAGAACGTATTTTGACAGATCGAATTGCATTATTTTTTAGTACCCAAGGAAAATTATAAACATCTTTACATGGCAGTCCGTTCGTTTTTGTGCGTTCTATAAATGTCACTAATCCCTGTATAGACCAGCTTTGACATCAAACTATGGAAAAAGGCATTTAAGCGCATAGTTTTGTATGCGGAGGTAATCAGAGAAGGATTTACCTCATAATTTGTAGCCGCCCTGGTCGCAATCGTTTGATTAAACGATGCAGTAGCGTGGGTTATGCTCAAAAAGCTCATTAGTTTCAAGCATGCTAAAATTACGTATGTATAATCGATGTATTTACGCGGTCTTCTTCGTGTAAACAAAACTACCTGAGTAACGAGTGTACTGTAGTCTTTACAAATGATTGTAATGTTTCTTTTGTATACCAAAAAAGCAAGTAAATAAAAATTTGCATATTTTATCATAAAATAGCGCTGTAAGGAAGGTGATTAGAATTTTAATGTTGTCATTTATAAGACAGTTATAATTTTTGAATCGTCAAAAAGGTGGAAAAAACATCATGAAATGAATAAAAAAACGAAATAAGCAGAAGAACAAACATAACTTTTCAATTTTTGAATCATTCTAATAACATAAAAAATGTAGGGAAAATAATGCCTACGCCAGATGGCATTCCTTCAATAATCATAGGGATGAGGATGGATCGCTCTTTGGGGGATCGTTCATTACATTTAAATATAGAAAGCTAACGTTAAGTCCAATTGAATTTTCAGTTAATCCATCTTAAAATAGATATATTTATGCTAGTATTCTCCCGATCAAACTTCAAAATCTTCGCACCGAGACACACTTTTGAAGTTTGATCGGGAGAATACAATACTATACAGAATAAAATCCTTATTTTAACAATCGCGTAAAATTGCCGACGACATTGTCCTAGTCGTTGTTGATTCCTCGTTTAATTTTTAAATATAGTTGGCATAAACAACGAGATTGTCTACAAACAAATCTGCGCCAAAGAGCGATTCATCCCTTGAAGGGTTAATAAAGTCCTAGAGCAGTGGTTCCCAAGCTTTTCAGCTCCGCGACCCCATTGTTAACAATTGGGTGTTCCACGGCGCCCTGAAAAGTACCTTGTATATATTACGCTGAGATGAATAAAAACCATTCATTTGTTCTGTTAGTTATTCGTTTTATTTCAAAATACCATGTTAACAACAGCCAACAACTCGTGCAGTGCGATTGATGTAGATCTCAAATCTAGTTACGATGCTGCGTTTGTGATGTCAATCTTGTCAACATTCAATCTGTTTCTTGTCATGGTTTTAATGTGGAGAAGAGTTAAAAATCCGCTCTCGTACGTACGTACGAAGATGCAAATGGCACAAGGATCTTCAATGTCTGCTATGAGACTTTGGGATACGACATGGCACGCCAGAACCACTGGTTCAAAAAAATTTTACGGAACTAATCACAAGATGAGGAATAATTTCTCGGGTCCAAATATTCATCCTGTGTTTCATCAAGACTTCCACATCCATTAAGGAAGAAACCGGATTGCAGACTACATCAGCATCTTCTTGTATCAGCTCAGGGAAACACAGCTCACATTGATAATCCAGTGAGTGAAAATGAGCAATAATTTCTGATTAAAGATCCGAATTTAGCTCGTTCGCTCTTTTTTCAGTCATACTTCAGAGTCTATGGAACATGGCAACATTTCCAATACTAACCTTTCGGGGCCAGTTTTGCTTGACTGCTTGAAGATCGTCTTGGAAGTGAATTAGATGGGTTTGCTAGCCCTCTGAGATGCCATCGGCAAAAAATCTCATTAATAGTATTTAAAAACAAATTTACTGGCCTCCTAGTTTCAAGTCCAGCGAATTTTGATGCACAAAAAATCATTGAACAAGCGAGTCGCTTATGCCTTCCACACTAAAATTAGTAATGAAATCATTTTTCCTTTGAACTTCCAAGAACATTTTGATTTCGTCCCTCAATTCAAAAGCACAGTTGAGAACATTGCCTTTGAACAACCATGAAAATAAGAACCACGTGATCTGAATTAACTTGCTTGTTGAGTTCTTTGAATAAACGAGTGTTCAGAGCTCTAGATTTGACATAGTTTACAATTTTGATGACAGAATCAAGTACTTTTAACATTAGTTCCGGCAGAGTCTTGCTCTTGCTGATTAGGGCATATCTAACACCTGTGGCGTATGGAGCAAGCTCTATAATCTCTTTCTGAAATCTTGATTTGTTACCAAGCATTGCTAGAGCGCTATCGATATTAACTCCACTTACTTTTTCCCACTGTAAGCCACTCAAAAAATGTTTTTATTTTAGCCATGATATTGTCACTTTTGGCATATTTTTTTTTAGACCAAACAAACCAAGACCCTCACGGCCCCCCTAAAAAGACTTTGCGCCCCCCCCCCCCCTCTCGGCCACGCACCACCGGTTGGGAAACGCTGCCTTGAGCGTTTGATTCTGTATGAGGATGGACCATGTTTCAGTGAGTTATTTGGCGTTAATTGAAGGGGCGTTCGTTGTGTTTCCTACACGCTAAGATCAGATAACCCAAATGTAGGTTTACTTTACCCAAATCAGGCGTAAACTGCACAACCTCAAATATAGGGGCTGACGATAGTAGTATAGAAACGAAAGACAATGAAAAAACTTAGTTTCACTTAAGGACTGAAAACCAATAGTATAACATATCATTAAAAAAATAAACAAATAAAAGTTTAGTAGTCTACTTTCATGCATACATCTTTCAAAGCATCTCAATACATACATCGTATGAAATTTCTTGTTGGTGCTAGCATCTACCTATCTGGAAGTAGTTGGTTTACTTTAAACCCCAAAGATAACCGATCCATTGGTATTGTAAGCCTGCGAGTAGGTAGCAGAAGAGATTAGTATAAATTTATGTGTTTTTCGAAGTATGCAGTACCGTGCTGGACCGAAACCAAACAGTTTGTTCTCCCAGAAATTTGCGTATTGATAAAGGATTATCACAGCCCTTGTGTTGAAGGTTTCATGTTTTAGGTTTTTTCAGACTCGGTATGATTACAAAAATATGCACAGGATTATGACGTGTCTGGTTTTTGGTGCAGCACGGTATTCTGTGAAATATTTGTTACTTAAGTAATCCACCACCACAGACAGACAGAAAACAAACAACGATTAATAAGTCATTAGATCTAGGTTTCAACTAGCTTAGAAGTAAATTTCAACATTTCCGTAATGAAATGAACTTACATTTATATCGTTTGTTTCATCGGCTTCTACTTGAGTAACTTCATCTATCAGCGCAGTGGACTGACCTTTGAGTAAAATTTCATCTGTTTTTATATCAGAATCTTCATTTGTCAGCTGCTCAACTTCTTCATTTTGATCGTCCGCCTGAGAAACAGAACAAGAAACGTCAGTAGTATGAATACCACTGTCTTCTCGATCCGTATCAATGTTCTCATTTTCATCCAACCCCATTGTTGCTTTTTGCTTTAAGATATCGTTATAACTGCTCGAAAAGTACGGTGGTTTATCCAAGGGTTCATTTCCTTCTTTTGACTTATCCGGCGATAGTGATGCAAGCTTCATATTATGTCCTATTGCATTTGATGCTTCTATCGAGATTTTATGTGGTGAAGACTTAAAATTGCCTTCTTTATCATTCGCAAGGGTTCTGATTTCCCTTTCAAAAATCTCCAATCTATTTTTTAAATCGGTAAAAGAAACGTCTGGAATCGTTTTTTGACATTTGTCGGACTCGTTTGGTTCTTGTGCTTGATTTAACTGTAATACTGACAGGCGCTCCTTTATACTTAAAGTACTGACAAAATCTGATGACTGCCTCCTTGATTCACTTTCTGAAGGTAGATCTTGGTCTTTTTCAAATAATTCTTTCCTTTTTGAAAATTCAACCTTGGGCACTTCCGGTAACAATGTTTCGAATAAATTTGTTTCATCTTTAGTTGTTAACCGAGCCTCTTTGCAGAAGTTGGCTGTATTTTGTGTTGTGCCTAAAAAAGTATTCTGATTTGCATTATTTTCGTATCGTTGATTATTGTCCGAAGTCATATGCGTGGCTCGAGAAATTCTACTTTTGTAATCTTCAATTGCTCCCTCATATGTGTATTCATTCAAATCAGTGTCAGTGGAACTGTCTTGTGATGTGGCATTATACGTATCCTCAGAGATTGTGTCTACTATTTGGCTTGAGGACTGTGAAGCAAAGAAACTAGTTAAGATAGCATAATTAAATAAAGAAAATAAAAAATCTTACATCAGAAGTGCTTATCCCAAGATCACTCAAATCATTGTTATCATCATCAGTATAAATAGGAAGGTATTTAAGACGTCTGGAACATCTGAAAATCGGGATGAAATATAGGAATAAATACTCATCTAGTATGATGTAGCTTTTTTGGCACCAACCTTTCTTCCATCATTTCGTTGAACGTTTTGGATTTTCTCCTATTGCGATCATGTTCCTCAAGCTCTAACTTCTTCACTTCAACAACTCGATCTATTATATGCTCAACCCTTTTCCTTCGTGATGACTTCCAATTATCTAAGTTCTATAATAATTAAAGTGATATGTTATATCATTTGGAGGGAAAGTTATGTAACATTCGTTGTTTTTTTTTCAGTAGATACTTACACATTGCCACTCCTCCGGCTCTTCTTTTTTCTCATCTTTAATTTTTTTAACAACGTCTACTTTTTTCATTTGCTCTTGAGCCGTCTTTACCAAGCTACATGGTTTTAGTTGAACAAATTGCAGTGGGTCGTAAGCAGGTTTAGGTGGTAGTGCCCTAGTCACACGTACCTTTTGAATGTACTCAGTAGGGTCATATGATACCTTGAAAGAATATAAATGATGCTTTAAATCATTGAATAATTTAAAATAAATTTGCCATAATGCCGGCATCATACTACTTTGCGTCAGGTTTGCGGTCATTCGTTTGCTATAAAAATGGTTTTCGAAAGTATGAATCATTAGATGATACGATGATATTTTGCACATGCAAAATACAATATGAGATCGTCAAGTATGTGTTTGACACATCATCATAACATCAAATGATTTCATAATTCTGAATAACAAGTTTTTATAGCAAATAGTGGAAATGGATGTAATGGCGGCCTAAATGCCCCAAATTTAAGACCATACATAAATTCAGCAATCGACTAAATTTTCAATAGCGACCAAAAACATCCATTAGTACCGTCCCAATGACGCGTTCATCTATTTAAAATTGATAAATAGCAGATTTTTAGCGATGGACCCAATCTTAAATCCATAGGCCTACATTAGAGTCATTTCCTCTACGTCGAAACTTTTCTTGTAGCTCACAAGTGCAGAATAGGGGAAATTGCTCTAATGTTGGCCTATGGATCTAAGATTGGGCCCATCGCTAAAAATCAGCTATTTATCAATTTTATCTAGATGAAAACGCGTCATTGGGACGGTACTAATAAATATTTTTGGTCGCTTTTGAAAATTTAGTCGATTGCTGAATTTATGTATGGGGGCCCAAATTAGGGGTATTTAGGCCGACATTACAGCCTACTACAATGATATCTTTAAATTATTGTTCAATTACTACGTATGGGAGAGGGAGGTTAAATTATATATGTATAGTATTGATTTCTTACGATTCGTAACTTACCGGGACGTTAGTGTTCCGTGTGTCTTCATAGCTATTAATGGAGTAAACAACATCTTTTCGGTTGGATGGCGGTGAAGTTATTTCTTCTTTATTGGTCGACATATCACACATTTTGCATAGATTAGTATGGTGATAAGGCTCATTTAATAGAATAGTTACATTTTTAAATTGTCCATCGATAAAATCTAAAAAATACAGATGTGAGATTTTTTTTAATTGTTGTGATGCAGTAGTTATTTACCTTAGATTGATGTTATCATTTATAATTTCATAAACATAACAGTTAAGAACTTCTCCTAATTAATTGTTCTAAGTTGTGGATTGGAAAGGATCCTGAAATCAAAATGTGATTAAAAAAGATTGATTAAACTTTGAAACAGCCTGTAATAAAAGCATTTAACCGAATAGAAAGTATTTTACTAGTTTACGCTATTTGAATCAATCATTTTTTGGGGAGATCTGTCACTTCTCAACAATTAAAATCCCTAGAAAATAAGGTCCAAGAAACTGAACATAGCGAATATAATATACACTGAAAAAAGTTTTCTGAAAGATTCCAACGCACAAGAGTTTGAATGTCGACGATCGCTGGCGAAAAGTTAGAGCTTTGTCGCTATGTCAGATTTGTCTATCCAGTCACGGAAGGCGGTCGTGTAGAAGCAACAACCGTTGCAATATCGATGGCTGTCAGTATCGCCATCATCCGTTGCTGCATTCAACAAGGCGAACTGCAGCAGCTACTGCACCAACAGAACAGGCAGAGAGTTATACTCATCAGTACCTCGGATCGAGCGTTCTGTTTCGGATTGTGCCTGTTACGCTTTACGTTACGTATGCTTTCTTAGACGAAGGATCATCGCTGACTCTGATGGAGAACGATATTGCAGAGCAACTCGGAGTAAATGGAACTACTCAACCATTGTGCTTACGGTGGACGGATAATACGTCGAAGAAAAGCCGAAGGTTATCACCATCGGTGGAGCCGGTTCACAGAAACGGTTCAAGATGTCGAACGTTCGTACCGTGACTAATCAGAACCTTCTCAGCCAGACCTTCCAATTGATGGAAGCCTGAAGCAGTTCGACTACTTTTTTTTTTGCTTTATTAGAGACATTTTTAGCCTTGGGCTGGTTCATCTCTTAAAGACGAGCAGTTCGACTACCTCAAGCAGCTACCGATACAGAGCTACAAGAACGCCGTACCTAAGCTGCTGATTTGAACTTGACAATCTACAATTAGCTGTTCCATTGAAGTCGAGGGAAGGTAACGGAAATGGACCAGTTGCGGTAAAGACCAGACTCGGATGGTGCGTCTACGGTAAGCAACAGCCTGGATCGAAAAGTGAATACAGTTACCACGTTTGCGAGTGCACGACGAATAAGGATCTGTATGATACTGTCAAGCAGTTCTACGATCTCAAGTAAGTTGAAGCAGGAAATGTCACCCTACGATCTAAAGAAGAACAGCGAGCGCTGGATTTGCTGGAGCAGACGACGGTTCGTGTCGGTGAGCAATTTGAAACTAGACTCCTGCGGAAAGATGACGATGCGGAGCTACCAGATAGCTACACGATGGCACTTCGCAGGCTGGAATGCCTGGAAAGGGTGATGTCACGGGATCCAGCGTTGAAAGATAACGTTTTCCGGCAGATGCAAGAGTTCGCAAGCAAGGGCTACATTAATAAAGCCACAACGAACGAACTCGTAGATGCGAATCCCCGCAGAAACTGGTATCTCCCCGTGGGGTGACCAACGCGAAGAAACCAGGGAAAACAGGCATCGTTTGGGACGCTGCTGCCAAGATGGACGGAGTTTCGCTAAACAGCATACTGCTAAAAGGGCCGGAACAGTTGGTGTCGCTGTTAGGAGTATTATTCCGCTTCCGGCAGTTCAAGATTGCGGTGTGCTCTGACGTGAAGGAAATGTTCTTGCAGATTCTGATGCACATGGCTGACAAGCATTCGCAGCGAATCCTGTGGCGTTTCGATCCATGCCAGGACCCGGAAATCTTCTTGGTCGATGTTGCAACGTTTGGGTCGACATGCTAACCAGCGTCGGCACAATTCGTGAAGAATAAGAACGCTCGGGAGCACAGTGTTCTGTATACCAGGCGGAAGTAATACGGGATGCAGACTTTGATAACTTTGGGTCGGAAGAACTTGGGAACCTGTGATCGCCTACGAGCCGTTCTTCAAATGGGAGAGGTTGCAGCGTAGTATGGCTTATATACTACGATTCATTTTCAACGTGACCAAGAAGGGAGAAAGCCTTTGCGAATAAGGTAACGACGCTGAAGAATAATCATGTACTACCGGAAGACAAGAAGGAATCGATTGACAGATCGAGCATCGTTTACCAACTGATGCCATTGATGGATGAACGGGGTTTGATGCGTCAAAAAGGGGGATTGCAGCGGCTTAGGATATTCATCACAGCGTGCGCTTTCCAGTAATCCTGCCAAGAAAGCATCGGTGCACGGAACTTCTGGTCGCACGCTATCATCGGCTCCGAAACGGTAGTGAACGAAGTCCGTCAGCTGTTCATCTTACCGAAACTGCGATCGGTGTTAAAGCAGATCGGACGAAGCTGCCAATTCTGCAAAATTCGTAAGGCACTTCTGACTATTCCTCCGATGACACCACTGCCACCAGCACAGTTGGCCGTACACGAGCGTCGATTCAGTTACTTAATAGTGGACTACTTCGGCCCATTGTTAGTCAAGCACTCGAACGTGAAAAGGTGGATTGCGCTCTTCACTTGCTTGACTGTGCCGTTCACCCCGAAGTGGCATACAGCCTATAAGCTGCGTCGTGTATTTGCTGCATCCGACGATTTGTCTGCCGCCGAGGATCGCCGTTGGAGTTTTTCAGTGACAACGGTACGAACGTCCACGGGGTTGAACGACAACTTCGTGAGCAGATCAACGAAGGAGTATCAGCAACGTTGCCCCGTAACGTGGGTAGATCACCTTTTCGTGGTACGTTACGGGATGTAAGATCTACCACCGATTCCTAGTCCTGACTACTTCAAACTAGGGGAACAGGATTTTTCAGTAATCCAAGGAACACATCTTAGTCCTTGTTACTTTTTATGCCTTGTTGATAGTGAAAAGACTCGGCTTTGTCTACCGAGGATGATCTTGAAACAAGGAAAAAATGAGTTAGTTGTCTTCATCTATGTGATTCCTAATCTTCTCTTCGTTGTTCCCTAGTTTGAAGTGGTTAAGACTAGGGTTCTGATGCATGGTCATTATCGGTGTCATACCTTAATTTTGTTGCTAAGGAATACAATTTTTACTGACAAAGGGGCGCGCCTTTGGAGGGTGTTTCAATACTCCGAAGGGTATAAATAGCGGGACCTTTCAATTAAAGTCGGATCCTTGCGATAAATGCAAGAGTGGCAACTGTAAAAAAATCGAATAATACTTCATCATTTCTCAATAGTGATGGAGTAATACGACATGCACTAAACTAAGGACACGGGATATACTACAATAGATCAATTTACTGGTCACAGTAGTGTTAGGTCCCGAACAGAGGAAAAAAAAATAAGCAACGTTCACCAGTACCAACACGAAGTGGACCTTCATTCCGCCAAGCGCTCCACACATGAGCGGTGCATGGGAGCGACTCGTCCGTTCAGTGAAGACGGCGATAAGGGATGCGTACCGCGAAGGAAAACTCAACGATGAAGAGCTGCAGACCATGATCATGGAGGCAGAGGGCATTGTAAACACCAGACCACTTACGGACATACCACTTGATTCCACGGAATCAGACGCTCTTAAGGGCCACCCACATTAGATCCGTTTGCGCTGCGTTGACGTAAATTTGACAGTTAGACAATAGATTTGGCTGTCACTATGCCACAACGCGTCCGATCCGGATCTAATGTGCGTAGGCCTTTAAGCCGAACCACTTCCTACTTGAGAGCTCGAATGGGGTAGAGCAGCCAAGCGTGGGTATCGAGGTTCAGCAGCGATCTTCTCTGGACTCATGGGACCGCATCCAGCGGCAAGTCAACCGGTTCTGGCAACGCCAGTGAAAAGGCCTGTGAAGGAAGGGCCAATGATTTGTAAGTGGTAACCTATAAATCAGTGGCGTCCCGTAACCTCACTTTTTACCTGTGCACCAACTTTCAAAACCAGATTGAATGCCATATTCATACTCGAATCGGTTGAAAAATACACTTAATCTTCTAGTTTACTCGATATCTAGCCATTGCAAGCAATATTATGATAATTGTTTGTGTTTTGAGAGTTGGTGCACAGGTAGATTGAGGTTAAGCCACTTCTATAAATCTAAACCTACATTGCTAAACTAACCCTAACTTAAATGTATAGTTTGAACCGATCCTAAAAGGAATAAAACGCTGCTCAATAACAGTACCGCGCCTTTTTATTTGGCCGTACCAACATCTTTAAATCAAACCAATATTATACCACAGACAAAATTATACATTCAGTCTTGTCTTTAGTGACTTAAATAATCTTCTATTTTGATTTCTGGAACTGACATTTACACGAGAAGACATACACTCATAGAAAATCAATTATTTTGTTTAGGGGCTGTCCATAAACTACGTAGACAGTTTAAGGGGGGGGGGGGTTGACAATTATCCACGGCCCATACAAATTTGAAAAATTTTGTATGGGCAATTGTCTACGCAGGGGGAGGGGGGAGTCAATAATCCAAAAAAACTGTCTACGTAGTTTATGAACAGGCCCTTATAAGAATAGACTCATACTTCTCATTATCTTATACTAAGTTTTATTCATTATTTCACACACATTAAGTTCATGAAGGCACACAAAGTAATCAAGAGATATTTTATTAAAAAGCATTAACCATGTGTTATGACCAAAAACTATAAATATTCACTTATACTTTTTACATATCACTGCTTTGAAAAATAACAGTTGTTTTTGACTGAATCGGAAAAGGATGTCAACTACGTGAGTAGAAAATAATCATCATTCAATTAATAGATTTTAAATCATCAACGCAGAGATACTCGATACGACAGGTGCTCTAGGTATGCAGAAGGATCAACGGCATGAGGACAATTTCGGTTCCCAATCATAAAGCAGTGACAAATTCATCTTCAGTTGCACACTATACCTTCCAGATCCATGCTCGGAAGCCCGGTGCTGTAAATAATTCGATAAATAAAAAACAAACCGCTGTCAAGTAGAACCGACAGCTGACTTCGTGGTTGAAAATAATAAACAAATCGATTTTACACGACTACACTTGCAAGGTTGTGTTAGTGAGATCTTGCGTCGAGAAGTCAATTATTAGTATCGTCCCAATAACGCGTTCATCTACACTAATTTTCACATTAATGCTACGTGAAAACATACGTAGATTTTTTCCATCGTACTTTTCACATAAGAGCTATGTGATTCTCATGTAGTGGTACTCATTTTATGAAACTTAACCGCCATAGGATTATCACATAGAAGTTACGTGTTTTGGTCGGTGACATTCATTGGATGATTCTAGTGTCAATATTTGACACTGTTTATACAAATATTTCCTTAATATGTAGATAAAATCTTCGCGGTATTATAAGTAATAATAGTAATATTCCTGTAATTTATTAAAATTTACTAAATAAACTACATCAGTATTTTTTTATTCGAAACGCAGCACAAATCTGGAAGATTATGGAGATGGGCCTAGATGCTTTTCTCCCTTGATGAAGAAACTGCTGGACAGCTTGACATCATTCTGTTGAGTACGATGAAAAAGTCAGTTTGTTTTTGTCAAACAGAATCAAATAATCCCTAATGTTGTACTTACATCTTGCCACATTCTTTAAAAAATACCGAAGCCCATTATTATGCTGCCATGATTTGCACCGCTCTGAGTGTACGTACCACTCTTTTGTTTACATGTGGACATCTCAAGCTTTACGTGAAACGCACATAGATTCAGTGTTATGTGAAAATCACGTACATTTAATTGATTATGTAGGTGTGTCAAACAGGAACTCCCTGTGAAATTTAAGGGACATCACGTACATTCTACGTGAGCAACGTAAAACTGAGAGGAGAGGAAAAAGAGAGAACTTACGTGATTTTTCACGTAGCTTCAACGTGTAGATTATTTTGAGTGTAGATAAAATTGATGAATAGCAGATTTTTAGCGATGGGCCCAATCTTAGATCCATAGGCCAACATTAGAGCCATTTTCCCTATATCATTATTAATATAAAAAAAAATCTATTCACACCAATTCTTTTTTCTAATGAAATATAAAAGTAAACAATATTGAAAAGGGACCTCATCAATGCTATATCGAGTTCAATGATTCTTACGCTTCAAAGTTCATAACAAGTATTAATCAGCCTTATACTTTTCATTTAAGCACGACTAATAAGACTTATACATATGTTTAATTACTTATCCTTATACTTTTCATGAGCGAATGGCAATGGCAAAAATCTTTGTGGTTTGCTTAATACATTCAATGTGAATAATTATTTTCGTGTAGTTGCCTAATCCTGCTAAAGGTCAAATCATCACCTCCCCAAGGTTCAATTGGCAACAAAAGATGGTAAACAACAGAGCTCCATAATTCGATAGAATATTCGTTTATTGTTAATGTGGGCTAACGAATGTTGGCTATAGCTTCATTGGATGCCCAAACTTAGTACAAACATTAAGCTAACATAAAAATTACAAAATTATTTTAAAAAAATCCTTCCGACGATCACATTACAAAATCTGTTCATGCGGTTTACACATTGGCACATTCCCACATCTGGCGATCATGAGGTATCTTAGCGTTTGCTGTAGAGAAGCTAGTTTAATTTTCAGATGTGCACGACTTCTTTCTTTTCTTTCCTTTATTTAACGTCGGTCTCTGTTCCGCAATCTGGTGCCAATAATCACCGACGGACATCGATTGCCAATGTGCAGGAAAGTAGCTTCCACACTTGCGTAGGATATCGCACCTATTCACAATTCAACACACATGGGCCGGAACCAACAGCTTTACTTCCCTTCCGAAGGAAGACGTGACCAGAGATTTGTATGCCTCAGAAAAATCCCACCGACCTCGGCTGGAATTGAACCCAGACCCATTGAGGTGAGAAAGTAGTAACACTTACCACACATAACCGGCGCCGGCTATGCACGACTTCTGGATATTGACATTAGTGCCCCTGAAAAGGGTAAGTGGAAGGATCCCGTCAATCTTGGCCTTAACCATGGACTTGATCGGTACTTGAGATTTTTTACGACCTTAAATTATTGGCTAATTAAATGAAAATACCTTGCTAAATTATAAATTTATTTAATCAATCTATGCATTGAAATCAAAGGAATAGATACGCTGTTATAATACTATTATTAGCATCACACATTAAGAATTCTTATTGCAAATAAGATTTCATTTAGTTGTACGATTTATTTCCTTTAATTTATATTTTAGCTAGCTAACAATAACTTCATTTTAGATGTTAACCAGCAATTTTGATCCCACAAATTGTGTTAATTGCAGTGTGCCTTTCAAAGCAATTGATTAAGCTATAATATATTATGTAGCATATATGCTTTCTTGAATTCAATTTAGTTTTCTGGAATACCTATAATGTTTTTTAAGGTCACCAGTAATTTAATAAATGTACGATTTTATGATTTCATATTAAAAACATAGCGTATCGTAATAATACACATTATCGTACAAAAAAAGGGTTCATTTAAGTGTAATGGAATTCACTAATTAATTACAAAGGGCTTACAGGTTTACGATGCGCTGAACGATTACACGTTCAAATACATTTTGGTGGTGTTAGCAAACAGTGTTGAGAAAATCTTTTCAAGTTAAATTTATCATTTGAAACAAAAGTCAAACGCGTCCAGTCCAGTCGAATAGTCGTATCTATTTTTAAGAATCTGCAACTGTGTTGCATTTGCATCTTTTTTTATTGTTAGCTAAGGTATAGGAGATATTTATAACGCTAAAGCGAATGGTAATTCAAGCTTCCCCTGCCTTCATTGCGACACACATTTCACGCTTACAAATATTTCTATATATTTCAAGATCATATAAAACAATGAAAAATATCAAATGACTGACTGATTTCTGGTATTTATAGATCAAAACATTGAAAACTGACATCATAGAAGAAAATAATATTTTATCTATACGATGTCAAAAAAAAAACAACCGAAAAAGACACAGATAAGGTTTCATTCGCTAACAATATCTATCACATCACAAAATACCGATACGACACGCATATGACTTTGTTGAATTCTACCCTTCTGCTGGTTTATATTAAATACACTACTGTATATTTAATTACCCTCCTGTACCGTTTACTACTTCTATGTGGTAAAAAAAGAAAAACTAATAGCGCAACACAAGATCACGTCTTTCGCTGCACTCTTTTCTTTGATACACTTGTGTACATAAATAAAGTGGAATGAAAAACTTGCATTCAACAGTCACCATTTTGATGGAATTCGTTGTCCATTTTTAGTTATACCATAAAAATAATTACGTCAACGTGTGCTATCCACCAATCCTTTCCATTTTATTGTTTATTTTCTATGTTCACATTTTCACAACTTTAAGAAGAACAGTTACTTTAACAGTAACTCCAATGTCACAATGCAATCAAAAGAAATGTTATTCGTAGCTCAGTTGACACAGTTTTGTAGAGATTTAACAATTTTCACCTGATAATTAACATACCACGAAATGAGCACAGACAACCTATACACAACTTAATCCACACCGTACGGAGGTCGAAAGAAAACTGACGGTAATTGGCGTTGACGGCGACTCTGTAGCTCTTTACTCCTATGAGAAAATCCATAAGCAAACGTCAGACTGTGCGTGAAACATGGCGGACTTTGTACTATCCTTTCACTCCACCGAAAATTCCCATAAGAAACTGTCTATATTTGCTGAAAGAGCAAATTTTTCGACGGTGCCGTCAACGCCAATGTGGCAGCAGGCAAAAACAAAACACACAAAAAGCGACTTAAGTCGATATGTCGATAAGACAGGCATCGTAACGGTATTGTGTTATATATTTTTGTTACAGGTAAAAATGTGGTTCAAAAGATGAAAAAAAATGTTACTGGTATATGTGAAAGAATGTTTAAATAAAAAATAGTAAAATCAACGAATAAATAATTGACGTGCGGTACCAATATACATTTTTATAATTGAGGTGATACCATACACAGAAAAAAAAATGTAATATCGATCAATGTAATTCAAGCTGATGTATGGAATAATGATGTAATAGCAAAAAGCAGATACAATATTACATCAATGGATGTAATTTTGTTCGCAAAATCGATGTACATCGTACAACGTGGTACAACGTTAAACCACAGACAAACAGACGTAACTCTTTGAAAAAGTTTTTCATGAAAACATAGTATCTCAAAACATAGGACCTCAGTAGCGACATCTTTTAGGCTTCTCGTGGAAAACAAGCTTGCTCGGTAACTCGCAAACAATATTGCATAAAAGTTCTATAGAATGGATAGAAACGACAAAGCTGCGGCGAGTAGTTCGCGGAACTGATAATATTCAAATCAACCGTTAAATGCGTGAACGAAGATACACAATGAAGAGTTACGTCTGTTTGTCTGTGGTTAAACGCTGTCCAGACTGGAGAGTTATAGCAACAATCAATATAAATCATGGTTGGCGTAGTGCCCACCACAGTGTACTCAACAGATGGCGGTAATGTTTTAGCGACGATGTTGTACAGTGAGAAATATTCAATGTGTTATGTCTGTTTGTCTATGGATTAAGCACCGACTAACCGACATGAAACTTAAACTTAACTCTTGATCGAGAATCCATAATGGTGGATTCAAATATGCAGCGATCCCATGTGTCAAAACCATAGAAATTTGTTATCTAGATAAACATAATTTGCTCGGAATAGATTAGACACGAACCAACTCATACATTTCGTACACACAAACAACGAAAATTGTATTAATAAAAGAAAGGCATTTTCAAATTAAAAGTTTCCCAAAATTAGCAGTTTCAACCTCGGTTTCAACAGCAAAAATATTGAAAATAAAAGTTAGCTTTTTAAATTGAAAGTTTTTCTTTTACTTTTGACTCGTGGTTCTAAAAGTACAAATTATTATGGCCTTCAGCGATGTTTTTACCGAGGTTTTTACTGGCTGCACTGACGTCTCATATGCCGCCTTTTCTGCTAATCTAGCCGCAAATCAGAAGTTACAAAAAGAGTCATGATTCTTTTGTGGGATACCAGAAACTGAACTGTTGCTACGTAGAGACACACTTGGAATTGGCATTCCAAATCGAATTCCAAATGGTAAATACATTATTTTCATTGTTATTGTTGTTGAATTTTTAGATTCTTTTTTATATCATACTATGAAATCAACCTGCACGACGACAAGACAGTTTTCGGTATCGACCGTATCAAATTCCTTTCGGAGAAGGATCTTTTATTTATTTATTTATTTATTTATTTATTTGTCGTCAATCAGTGTAGACCGTTTTACAATTGTTGTCTTAAGTGCTATTTTTACAATTTTGTCTTTGTTTATAGTTTTTTATAATATGTCTTAAGAAAAAGTTAAAACATTACTTCTAGTTGACGTTATGCGACGAATTAAAATATTGCTTTAATTTAGTTTTTGTCATTGTAAAGTCAATGTTATCGCAGTGCTTATTATATGTATCCATCATTTGGTTCAAGGGTCCAAATTTGGCATAATTCGTACGATGACGATTTGTAGCAAATATATTTCTGTTTCGTAAATGCCTAGATGGTGTATATAAATTTAAGGATGACAATAGTTCTATTGAATCAATTCGATGTGATACGATATCGTTTACGAAAGAAATCATAGCAAATTCACGACGTTCTTTTAATGTTTGGATATTTATGAGCATACACCGAGCTGTGTAAGATGGCAGAGGAAATACAGTCCAACCTAACTTGCAGTTGTCCCACAGCTGTCTACAGCAGCAGTCGATTTTTTATTTCGTTGTGAACCACACGATAGCCTGTTTTCGAGACTCGCTATTATATAGTTGCTCTTTGTTCGTTGCTAGCAGTTCGGTGCCTTTTGTTGCTACGGTGCAAGATGTGTGAAGTAAAAAACACCATCAAGTTTAGCTTCAGCCATTGTGATGCCAAACCAAACATCGGAGAGATAGTAAATTTCGCCAAAGCACTCGACGCGGATCCGGCTGAAATGGAAGCTGTTTATCGCATTGGTGAGGAAAGGGGAGTCTTCATGAAGTTCAAATCAGAGGAAGCGATGCTCCATGCTCTGACATTCAATTCGGAGGATTTAATCTTCCATTATGCGAATGGAACGACGGCAAAGGTACGCATGTCGCATGCTGGTGAATTCATTCAGTATGTGCGTGTGTATGACTTGCCACCAGAGGTACCCGACAACGAGCTGGATAAAGTGCTGGGGAAATATGGGAAAATTAAACGCATCATCCGGGAGAAATTTCCAACTGATCTGTGTTTTGAGGTATATACAGGGATACGCGGTGTATATATGGATGTGAAGAAGGAAATCCCCACGTCATTACATTTCTTCAATCGCAAAGGAAATATTTTTTATGATGGCAACAAAGACAAATGTTTTCTGTGCAAGGCGGACGGACACCGGAAGCTTTCCTGTCCCAAGCGGAAGGCTCGGAAGGAACCGGAGAAGCAACTGAAGGAAAAAGGAAAGCAAAGCGAAAGAAAACAAAACAGCAGCAGTACGTATGCTGGTGTAGTGGTGGAAGGTGCGTCGTTTGTCATTAGCGACCAGGAAACGGATACGGGGTTGGAGATGTTGAATGCAGATAACGAAATGGACGTGACTACCCCGACGACCGACGAGAGTAGCGGAGAGCATGCAACGGGAAACGATGTCCAGAAACAGCAGCAGCGATCACGATTCGGGTTCAATGAAAATGAGGAACAAATTCGGGAAAGAAAGAAGTTGCGTGCACGGGAGAAGATCGCTCTGTCGCCGCTTCGATCGCCACCCAGAAAAATCATATGATAAAATATATTTGTACATATTTTTTTTTGTATTTTGAGTACCATAATTGGTATTCTATGTTACTCGGCTCCGTTAAGTTATTTTTATAACATTTGAGCCTGCCAAATAAACGCAATGAAAAAAAAAAAAAAAACCTAACTTGCGGAGTGCATACAATAGAAACTGCTTTTGAACGGACTCTATTCTTTCTTCGTGTGTGATTGAAAAAGGTGACCAAACTATGCTGCAATATTCTAATATCGATCTTACATAAGCAATGTACAATGTTTTTATCGTATACGGATCGTGAAAGTTATAGCAGAAACGTTTTATGAAACCAAGCATGTTGTTAGCTCTGTTAATAATTGTGTTATAATGATCGGTGAAAGTAAGTTTTGAGTCCAAAATAACACCTAGATCCCTGACTCTATCACATTTTTCTACGATCTGGTTTCCTAAAGTGACTGTTATATCAGGTAGCTTTTGTTTTCTACTAATGGTAATGGAGTTACATTTTTTTATATTTAATTGTAGCAGGCTTTTTTGACACCAAGTATGGAATATTTGAATTTCCTCTTTGAATGTGATGATGTCTTTGGCATCTTTTATTTCCAAAAAAAGTTTAATGTCGTCAGCATATATTAAAACTTTCAATTTCTTAATAATGAAAGATATGTCATTGACGAAGAGAATAAATAAAAGTGGTCCTAAATGGGAGCCTTGAGGAACTCCTGAAGTGACATCAACGGGATTTGATATCTTTCCTTTGTATTTTACTATTTGATGACGGTCAGTTAAATATGATTCAAGCCACTTGAGGAGTGCGTAATGAATTCCCATTTTTTGAAGTTTAAAAAGAAGCATGGGTATGTCAATTCGATCAAACGCTTTGCTGAAATCTGTATACAACCACCCCTATTCTGTATTTCGTTTCGAACGAAATTCTCATACAAAAAAATATTTTTTTGGAAGGAGAATTTCGTTCGAAACGAAATACAGAATAGGGGTGAACACTTCTACATGGTTTCCGTTATCCATTGCATTCAAGGAATAATTAATTAATTCGAGCAAATTCGTAGTTGTTGAACGGCCTTTAAAGAAGCCATGTTGCATAGTAGTTATTCTGTTTTTAATTTGAAGAAAGAGTTTTTCATTTACAATCGCCTCGAAAAGTTTCGGAATGCAAGAGATAATAGCTATACCACGATAATTACGTATGTCGAATTTTTTACCCGATTTAAAGATAGGCACTAAAAACGAGTTTTTCCATATTTTAGGGAAGTTTCCGGATTCCAGTGACATATTGAAAATCCAAAATAATGGAGCAGTAAGTTCAATTGCTAAAGTTTTCATAAAAACTGGCGGAACACCGTCAGGGCCAGGACCTTTAGATGCATCTAAATTGTTTAAACCCTTTAAGATATCATGAACCTTGATTTGACTTACGCTGATGTCACTTGAAAATTCTGGATATGATTCAAAATAGTATATATAGTATATATTTCTTGGAAGAAATTTGCAAACAAATTGCATATATCATCCGAGTTCTCACCTATCCTATCGTCCAAATGCATCTTTGAGGGAAAATTATCAGATTTTAATTTGGTTTTCACATAATTG